TGTATTTGTTTGTATAACGCTGCAGCCCTATAGTTGGCCGGATGGTTTCCGTTACAAAGTACACATTTTACGTTATTGCTGCGTTCTTTTCGTGGACAGTGTAAAGTAAGATGATTACTTGCACACTTTACGTATCTTGGAGGCATATGGCAGAATTTTTGTGTGTGACCGTAGCGTTGACATTTGGTACATTGGGGAACCTGACGTTTGGGATATGGTGGTTCGAAGGACACAATCATGTTCTGGAGTGCTCTCACATCATATGTCTTTATTATTTGGCTTAGTTTTTAATTCTATATAAAAGAGCGGAAGCGCTATTTTGGATCCATTCTTATATATATTAGCTATGTTGGTTACTTCGTGTCCCATTAATCCCAGCTCATGTACTAAAGCGTCTTTATCTGCTGTCTGATGCATATTACGAAGCACAACTCGGAATGTTCTTTCTTCCTTTTTTTGGTAGGTGTAAATAATGTGTTTTTTTCTCATTGAGTGCTTTGGTTATGATTCGGTAATATTCAGAAGTTGAGGGCTGGATCTTTACTTGGTCGTTGTAGAGACATTTGATGGAATATCCCAGAGGGGGATATTGTTTCTAACAATTGTCGAAGAGGTTGTATATCACCTACATCTGAAACAAATATGGGTGGGGGTTGAATACTTTCTTTAACTGCATCAGTTCTGGTTTGGTTGGTCTCATCAGGTACTTCATCTAAGCTAGCAAATCTATTAGACGTTGGTGTGGGTGCTTTGAGCCAGTAATCGCTCATTATTGTTTGTTTTAGTTGTTTATCACCTCCAGGGCTGTCATTTCTTGCTCGTTTGTGGGCTTGAACAGTTTTCCATTCATGTTCTTGGTTTTCTTGGCTATCTTGTGGAGTAAGAGATGTATATTTGTGACGGTAGATAAGAAGAAGAAGAAGAAGCATGATTAGAAAGAAAAAAGTTACCTGGTTGTTCATGTTGGTTCTCAGTTGACTCTGTCTCTTGGAGTAGTATATTGGTTGAGCAATTTACATTGCTTTGTTGTTCGCTAGACAAGGTTCTGTTGCTCGATGGTTGTTGCATGGTAGTTATTTGCAGATTAGCAATGTGTTTTTCTGAAGTTGGACATCTCGGCGGAGATCTGCTCACTTTGTTTGAATTTAAGAAGGGATTGTCTATGTCCATCCTGTATCACGATTAAATATTTTATACATCACGATCAATTATTTATGATACGCCTATGACTTTTATTTGCCGGTATTTGGCGTTTGGAAATACCACTTGTTTTTATTTTGTTTGCGTTTTTAGAACACTGATAATTAATATTAGTAATTAACGATATAGTTTACAATAAGAACTGGTTACTATAATAATAGATATTTTTGTACTAGAGAAACAAATTTAATGCGACCGTCTCCAGCAAAGGTTGGGACGAGACTATCAGAATTTAGTGATTCCACGAATAGTATGATTTCCAAGTAGATAATATAATATGTGAAATTTTGGAAAGTTTATTAAATAAAACTGATTTTTTTAAATATTCTTACAAATATTAAGAATTCCCTAGATTTTTCATAGAATTGAATAAAAATTCCTTTTTCCCTAAGCTGGCTCAAAATTCCCTAGGTATAGGGAAAATTCCCTAGGTCTGGTAACGCTGCATGTACTGCCTTAATATACTGCTTATTGAGAAGCTTTTTTGATGGCTGCCCATTGCTGTGGAGATCTGCCACCTTTGCGTCAGATTTTACTGCATTTTGCGTCTAGTTCAAGGAAGGCCTCTGAGGGCAGTAGCAGAACCACAGTTTTTTTATTATTAAAAAATGAGGGAAACAAGAAACTCTCGAAAGAAAGCGAGCGTGTGAAAGACTAAAACTATACTAAATTTAAGTATGTAAAAATACAATAAGTATTTTTTAATATCTCCATCAGCATTGACAACAGTTTTTAGTCTTCGTTCACCGTGCCACAGCTCTTCAGCATTTTGAGATATAAAACTACGCCGATACAACAGTTTTATAATAACCCCGTATACATTTTGGATTAGGTTTAAGATTTGACTCTAAATCTGGGTGGCTATGGTAAGGTTTTTTTTTTCTAAAAACCTCGCAGCAGGACTACAGGTCGCAAAGAAAACAAAGACTAAAGAAGACAAAATAAGCAATGAAACTAAGCAGCTAATGACGGAAAGACGACAACTACTAGCGCAAAACAAACGCCATACTTAAGAATATAGAGAACTTAATAAAACGATTAGGAACGAGGAACAAATGGAACGAGACCTTAATAGAGCGAGTCATTGAAAACAACAGAGGCTTAAAATGTCTAAGACACGCACTGGGAGTTCAAAAAATTATCAAAATTAAAGACGCCAACAATCATGTAGAAAAGGACAAATATAAAATAACAAATATTGTCGAAGACTTCTACACATCCTTGAACAGCTCGCAAGGCCAGCCTAATAAAACAACAAAGGAGAACGTCAAAATAAAAATAAAAAATGTGGGATCAGAAGTACTACCAAATATAAAGGGATACGAAATAGAAAGAGCTTTAAAAGAACTAAAAAATAATAAAGCTCCAGGACACGACGGTATAATTGTCGAGCTCTTGAAAACAAGCAACACATTAACAATCCCTGTACTAACAGAGCTATTTAATAGATGTCACCATAATAGCCAGATCCCTAAAAACTGGAACAAGAGTCTAGTAATACTCTTACACAAAAAAGGGGACAAATGTGATCTACAGAATTATAGACCTATATCGTTGCTCAGTCAAATATACAAACTATTTATAAGAATTATTAAAAACCGGTTAACCTGCAAAATAGATAATTACCAACCGGTTGAACAGGCTGGCTTCCGCAAAGGATATAGTACATCAGACCATCTGCTGACAATGAGAACATTGATAGAGAAGGCAAATGAATACCAACTACCCGTATTTCTTGCCTTCGTCGACTATGAAAAGGCGTTTGATAGTATCGAGATGTGGACCATAGAACAAGCTATTAATAATTGTAGAATAGGAGATATAGGCAACTAATACATAATATATATGAAAATGCAACTATGATAGTACAACTAGACGAAAATACAAATCCCATCCCCAGTAAGAGAGGAGTGAGACAAGGAAACGTAATATCGCCAAAGCTTTTCAAACTGGCCCTACAAGACGTCTTCAAAACTACAAATTGGTCAACCTATGGCATTAACGTTAATGGCAACAAGTTAAACCACCTCAGATTCGCAGACGACATAGTGATTATAGCGAGCACATTCGAGGAACTGCAAATTATGTTGGGGGAACTAGCAGCCAGCTCCCAATACGTCGACATAAAAATGAATATGAAAAAAAACAAAAATAATGACAAACACAGATGACCACAGACATATAACTATAAACGGCAGTGAGATAGGACAAATCCAGAAATACAATACTTGAGGAGCAAAGTGTTTAACCAATGCATCCTTCTTATCATGACATATGAATGTCAAACCTGGACCCTAACCAAGGCAAATATAAATAAACTAGCCACAACGGAAAGAACAATGGAAAGAGCAATGTTAGGTATACGACTATCAGATAAAAAGAGGAACGACTGGGTAAGATCCAAAACAAAAGTTGAGGACATAACAACAAAAATTGCCAAACTGAAATGGAGCTTCGCGGGCCACACTGCTAGACAGAAAGACCAACGTTGGTATACTACAATACAACATTATAGAGCTTACGACAGTAAACGACCAAGAGGAAGACCACAGATGAGATGGGTTGATGACATTAAAAGAATAACCGGAACAAATTGGAAATATGTTGTTCAGGATAGAGACCGATGGAAGGAGTTGGGGAGGTCTATGTCCAAACATGGACGACAGAAAGCTAAAAAAAAGAAGATGGTAAGGTTTTAATTTGCAGTGTGTGTTGGTGGATCAAATTATTTTCTGGATACAACTGTTATACACTGGTATAAGGACTGGGATGTTTTCTAGAATATTCAGATAAGTCTGCCCAACAAAACTACCATCAGTACCTACCATTCTCATTCCTCTAGATGAAATTCATCCCCATGGATGGATTAAATTATTATTATTTGGTCTATTTACTCCAATTTTGCTTTTTTAGAAGATTGATAAATTTTCTCATCTGGAAATATTACGCTGTCCTAAAAATCGGTCCCACGGATTTTGAATCTGATGGTTTAAAGTAAATATAAGTCTTGGTTGCTTCTGTTGTCGTGTAACAGCTTGTTTTTTTGCTGCTGTTCGGTACCTAAGATGCGATGCTTTAATTCTGCGCCAAGTTGTTGTCATTCTTAAAGGAAACTGTGACATAATTTTTGCAGTTTTCGCATTTTTAAAAGGATTCAAGAGTTTCTTGTTCTCTCCATCGTTTATTAATTATAAAAACTGTTGTTCTGTTTACGTTAAAATGGTTTGTTACGGCTGATAGTGACCAACCATCTAAATTTCGTTACAATTTTTGCCTTTAGTTCTTTGCTAGCATATGGAGCCATTTTTTGAGGTTAAACAGAATAAATTATGTGACAAATTTTAAGATTTGGCAGTGACAGTGACACTATGTAAATAATAAGTATGTAACCTTTAAAAAGCACTGCTCAATTTTCTATAAAATACGCTTTAAGAGCTGTATCAGTTTTTTTAGAAACCAGCTGTCCATGAAGAAGAAGATACAACTTAGAAATGAAAAGGAAAATCATTAGGCCACACCCTTTCAATATGTATCTAAGTACCATAGATACCAAAAATAATTCGTAAAGATATACAACTTTTTTTCCCCTAAAACTTTCTTATCCTCTTTTAAGCCAATAAAATGAAATCGATTTTTGGATAATTGTACAGTATCTTTACCCTTTAGGGATGATTATTTAACAAATTTATCCTATTGCTGATACTCCCATCCCAACTTAACATTTTTTAAAAGTTACGTAACAACCAAATGTATTTATTTAATGTCGATCCCAATAACTAAGTTTTCTTTTATTTTATTAGGTTAGTGGAGATATCCAAACAGTATACTTTAGGCACAAGATTGACAGGAGCTGGGTGGGGCGGATGTGCGGTTTCCCTCTTGTCTCCAGAAAACGTCGAGAAGTACACGGATTTCCTGAAAGAAAACTATTATAAGGAGTTGGGAGTTACCGAAGGCTTTCAATCAATCCTCTTTGCTACTTCTCCCCGGGGGGGAGCGTGTATTTATGTTTGAGAATGTTTTTGTTATTGATTGAATTGTCATTTCGAAAGGAAATATACTCACAGTTGTGTTTTAATACCTCGTCCCATTTACTGTTACTAGAAAAAGACGATCTTTTACTTCTTAGAAAAAAAAAATATTTTTAGGGAGAAATTTATGAAACTAAAATTAATTTGGCGTATAATTTTATCTTTATATTAAACATTAAAAGAGACTAGAACGGCAACAAAATAATATTTTAATCTGTTGTACAACTTTCATAACAAATAAGTCACTTTTTGTGATGGAAGCTCGAGTTTTGTATTATATTTTTTACTGATCACCAAATTCACAGACAATTTTTTAGAATCAACAAAATTTTTAAAAGAATTAAAAATTATAAACTTCTTGCATGAAAGGGCCGGTCTTTTCACCTTCAGTTTTGGATTATTAGATTAGGCGGGATTTGTAGAAATTCAGTGCATAATGGACATTTTACATAACAAGCTATTTTTTTGCTGGAATTCCTTCAGGATGTGCCCAATATCGATAATCACGATATGCGCCAGTCGCAAACCCTGTGCTAAATTTTTTATTTAACAAAATCTGAAAACAATTGAAAATTTCTCATTTTTTGCTTCTATTTTCGTTTATAATTCGGAAAATATTGATCCTAGAAAACAAATTATACGAAGTAAAAAGTTTCGTTATTCAATTTTACACAATATTTCGTTAGCTAGAAATTAAAAATTTAATGTTTATTGTTGACAAAATAGCAATAATTGGAAAAAAAGTACAAAAAAGTGAAGTTATTCCTTTAAATGTTTTCGACATTCTAAACTTAACTTACAAGCTCCATATTCCGCCTAAAAAAACTTATTTTAAAATGTTTAAAAGGTATGTTAAATTTTTTTGTTAAGATCGGTGTGATAGGTTTTGCATAATAACTTTGCAATCCAGCCTACTGGAAAAAAATCATAAATTTTTAAATTTATAGTAGGCCCTAAATAAGGCCCTCAGATAGTTCCAAATTTTTTTGCTTATAAAGAAAGTCTCAAACTTTTAAACGCTTTTTGTAAAATTTAAATCGGTTTACTAGGAGAGCCTAAATTTTTTTTAAAGTTTTAAACATTTTTTAGGCATATAAACAAATTGAATAACTTTATGAGCTTTAAACATATCAATTTCAAAATTTATACACTTAAAGAACATTAAAAGGCGCTTCTTTAAAAAAAAAAGATACATTCGGCCTACTGGTTGCCAAGATATTGAAGGTCAAAGTTGGCATACATTTGCCGTGTAACCATAAGTAATAGAGAGCTCGTTTTTAAATAACTACTCTCGTCTTGTCAAATATTTTTATATGAAAAGTTTTACGTAATGCGCTTCATGGCAAAATCCATAAAAAAGACAAATAAAAACGGTCTTTGCGTAAAATGTCGCTCGGAATGCATGGGAGGTGGTGGCGGGGGACATTCACTCGAAATGTGAATCGGCGAGTTCAAAATCATAGCGCGCGCTAAAATTTGCATTATCTCGGCTTCTTGTTAACCAATTTTGCTCTTTTTTTGAATCGATGTCTCGGACGACAATAAGGGATGGATGAGAAAGTATTGGAAAATCGCTGGTATAGATTATGTAAAAAACCGAGAATCAATACGAAACTTTGTGGGACTACTATTTCTAGTATGAGGAGTTCTGATAGCTTGGAACACTATAAGTCAAATTTAAAATCAAAATCAGTCAAATTGAAATTTGAAAAAAACTTGTACTGGTATTTGTTTTTATGATGAATTATTGAAATGAACTTACATATCAATTTTTTAAAATATACAATTAACTATATTAATGGCAATTCAATCAATAATTAATGATTTTCGGTGAGGGTATATTTTGTGGGCATTAAAAGTTGTAATTATTTCTGTATTAAGAGCTAAATTTTGTAAATTAATTTTATTATAAATAAATGGTTTTATTATTTAGTTTAGTTTTTTTATTTATTTACCCAAGTTTTAGTAGTTACAGTTAGTACTGAAATGTACTGTATTAATTACTCATGGCACATAATGGGTCATTATGTGATCGTTTCGGTTATTGTTCATAGCTAAACTACATCTATCTGGATATTTCTTCACAAATTTGTGCTTACAAAAAGAATAATTGTCCTGCATTTGATATCTGAGTTCTTTCACGAATGTTTTTTAACCAAGAAAGTTGTTTTCTTCCTACACTTCTACGGCCCCTTTATTTTGCCTTTTTCTACTTCTTTATTAGTTTTCCTTGCTGTCCAAGGTATCTTTAGCATTCCTCTATGAACCCAATGCTTCAATTTTGTTTATAATCGATACTTTTAGCGTCCACACCTCTACACCGTACAAAAGTATGAACCAAACATAGCACTTAACCATTCTTTGTCTTAGTTCTAGACTGAGATGATTATTGCAAAGAAATGACTTCATTTACATAAAACTAGTTCTAGGCATTGCTATTCTACGTTTTATTTCTATGTTTGGATCTAGTTAGTCCGTTATTACAATTCCTAAATATGTCATTTTGTGAACGTTCTCAATTTGGACTCCGATTAATTGAAGCTTTGCATCGGGATGTGGGTCACGACTAAACACTAAAAATTTGGTTTTGTTTAAATTTATTTTAATGCCTATTTCCTCTCCTACCTCGTGAATACGATCAAGCAGAATTTGAAGACCTTCAATATTATCTGATAGAATTACTGTATCGTCTGCGTATCTAATCATATTACGTAGTTCCCCGTTGATTTTTATTCCATATGGTTGTCTCTCAAGTTCCTCTTTAAATAAGTGGTCGGAGTGAACATTGAACAATGTTGGCGACAAAATGCAACTGCCGGTAGAAGTTATACTTCTATACACGCGTTTGCCGTTACAAATTTATACGGGAGTTAATCGGCACAGTCATTACATATGCAATGCTCTAGGTAAGAAAGGGAAGAAAGGGAAACATAATTAGGTATATAGGTATATGGTGCATCGTTTGCTGTATATAAATAACATTTGACCTGTAATAGTAGTATAGTAAATCGATTAAATCAATATTTTAATGAAAATGTATATTTTTTTTTTCATATATGTATGAAAGAAGTTGAACGCAAAAAAAAAATTTACATATACTCTGCAGTAAAAATTCATTGTTTCTTTTGTTATTAATATAAAAATACAATACAATACACTGCAACATAATTCAATATAATAATACAATACAAATTAAAATGCAATATTCATAAGTATTTAAAAATAACAATATGCATAACTTACTTACGCATATGTTTAATTTACCACGATAATAATGTTAATAACAAAAAAAAATTATAATATTAATAAATATTAAATATATTTATAAAAAAGAACATTTTTATTCTCGAGAGAGAAAGTAAAAGAAAATATATCTTCTGTCTCTTTCTTACCTATATCTTACATATGTTATGATTTTGCAGATTCCGTCCCGTACAATGTTCTAACGTCGAACACGCGTATAGAAGTATAACTTCAACAACGAAATAAGTCCCTTTCAAAACAACTCTTTTCTGAACCTTAAAACTTGCATTACTAATTTTTTTAGGTAACCGAACTACGCCTTAGTTTTATTAACAGCGTCTTGGCGCCATTTTGTAAGATACTTTTAAATGGGACCATGGAGAAATTAATATATTACTTGAAAGAACTTGTATAAATCATTATGTCCATGGATTTTTTTGATTCTTTGTGGCACCGTTTCAAAATCCTCACCAAATTGTGAAAATCTTATTAAATTAACTCTCGGTAAAAGAATAACTCTTTCTTCTCATATAGATAACGTCATTAGTATCATATACAGGGTTACGCAATTGAACTGTTACCAACTTCACATCGATATATCTGGCAAACGATAATGACAGCTACGTCAAAGTTATCTGATAACACTTCAGTATATTGTTTATAAGCCGACAAAAGCATTTGCATTTAAGTTTTGTATATACAACAAAAGTTATTCGCAATGGAAATTAAACATAATAGTGTGATTGCGTTATATTTGGCTGGAAAATCACAACAAGCTATTATTCGTCAGCTCAAACACCTCAAAGTCAATAAAATGTTTGTGTATCGCACCATAACGCGTTATAATGATACTGGTAGCATTGCAAACGCTATGGTGGTGAAAAAAAAACAGCAACATCACCTGAAATGGTTCGGAAAGTAAAGGCTCGACTTCAGCGAATTCCACGTCGTAGTGGTAATCAAATGGCCAAAGAACAGAAAACATCCCAGCGAAGCATGCGACGAATATTGAAAAAGGAGCTCAAGGTCAAGCCTTAAAAATTGAAAAAAGCACACAATCTTACACCAAAGCAAACAAAAGTTCGGCTTGAAAGAGCAAAGGAGTTGTTGCCTGCACGAACGTGGCGAATTTCCGAACATAGTGTTCTCTGATGAGAATAATTTTCCTATTGAGACGTTCATAAACTCTCAAAATGATCGTGTTTACTTGACCGAACGCATCTATGAAACTTTGAGCTTACGAAAGGCTACCCGACGTAATTTCACATCTCAAGTAATGGTAATGAGCAGCTGTAACCGCCGATGGACGTTCTCCAATCGTTTTTATTGAATCTGGTGTCAAAGTCAATGCAACTTATTATCGGGGAAATGTTTTAGAAGCTGCTGTAGAGCCATGGGCACGTAAACATTTCGGTTGTACACCATGGACGTTCCAACAAGACTCGGCACCGTCTCATAAAGCTAGTGTGAACCAAGAATGGTTAAAGAACCATGTTCCACACTTCATTTCAACCACACAATGGCTTTTGAATTCACCAGCAAATCCGATGGACTATTCCATCTGGTCCATTTTGGAGACCAAGGTGAGGACTAAAAAATATGCCAGTATGGATGCGCTGAAGAAAGCAATTATACGTGAATGGGCCAAAATACTGGAAGATCACATTCATGCAGCAAGCAACTCGTTTTTTGATCGTTTAAAGGCCATAGTCAAGGCAAAAGGTGGCCAAATCTAATAAAGTGAGTGGATTCCGAAATTTTGATTATTTTCACACATTTTGTCATTTGAATCAATAAAAAATAATTTCACCCAAAAAATTATGGTCGTTTGAATAGGTAACAGTTCAATTGCGTAACCCTGTATATTGACAAAAATCGTAATTTAAAAATAAAATCAATCTTTTTTGAAATTTATGTCCGTACATATAAACATGAATAATATACATAAAAGAACTTTAAAAATAACAATCATTATATTTATCCTTTTCATCTCTACGCCCATGACTACTATATGTCCTAAATATTCCAGGATAAATCAAATAGCTTGAAAAATTAATTAATATATAAAATTAGCGAAATAATATTAAAAAATAAAAAAGGAAAATCATATTGGGATTTGAACTCACCTATAGCAGCATATGAACCAAACACGTAAAAATTTGCCAATTAGACATGACAATAACGGAATACAAAATTCTCGGACAGCTCTCGGTCATACAGTGATTTATTGTAATTATTGTTTTGAAATACAAAAGCCTAAAATTATTATGAAC